GTTTAGAATACCAGGTGGGTTGTTTGCAATAAAAGTTTCAGGATATAAAGTATTACCACGAAGGTATAAGTTCTATCGAAGCATTAGTAATTACAAATTGTCAGTGTAAGTAGTTATTCATTTTACGTTATTAATCATTTCATTCAAGAATGTTAGTAACAGTCCCTTGAATGCGACTCTGATTTCACACGTATTTTCACGTTTCTAAAAATACAAATCACTGAAAAGCTGTACATGCCGTTGTTATTTTTTTCTCTAAGGAATGCATGCATAAATGGTCATTATTGAATATTTCTATAGCAAATATTACTCGTTCTGTTTTCAAAAATTTTTATTGCATTTTTCCAAAACTGAGTTTGTTTATAGCTAAGGAATGTTCTTCGGATCAATTTACAAACTTTCAATCACTCAGCAGTGTAGGACATTTTAATTCCTGTGTACGTCTGCAGAAAAAGCTAGTTTTAAATAGATGAAATAACTACGTAAAATTTAGATCTTGTATTAGTTTAGTGTAATTTAAATTATAAATCATTGAAAAGTTGTAATTGCATTGAATATATATTGTAAGTAAAGACTAACACGTTCTGTGTGTAAAATAGAAGGTTCTTTAAAGTTTATCGATGTTCATTTCTTTATTAGAAAAAGTAATTCATTGTAGAAACTATACAATGGAAAACAAAGTAGAAAATTATTAGTCTTTTAAGTAATTAATCATAAGATATTACTTATTACTACTTATCTTTTTGTAGTTCACACCAGTCAGTTATTAATAGTTATTATTTGTATGATGTCTAATAAATTATTGCTTGAATTTGTCATTTTGTTCAAGAAAAACTGGCAAGTTTAACTTTTTAAAAAATAAATGAAAATGGAAATGAGAAGTAATTTCTTCTATAACTGAGCATTGAAGACGATTTTTTTAGCCCTTAACAGAATGTAGAAATTATGTTGTTTGTTCTGTTTGTAAATGAGGTCATAATGAATTTATGCAAATAGTTTGCAGCTAATTTTCTTAACTCTGAGCAGTCGTTCTTGAATTAGCAACAAGTAATTAGAAAGCGCATTTGAGAGAAAGTTGTATTGGCTCTACGACTATTTATGTCTTCAGTTCATTAGAATGAAAAATAATAGCGATGGATATAAGTAGATTAATTCAAGTAAGGACAGTTTTGAGCAAATTCAATATGACAGTAAAAAACAACCATAGATTATTATTACTATTAATCATTAATTATTAAATGTAAGATTTTAGTCTTAAACAAATTATCTTCATGTATATTAGTTTGTCGCAGCTTGTAATTATGTGCATTAATCGTTAAGGATTTATATTGTGGATAAAAATTATCATTTAATTTTTTATTCATTAAAACAAAGTTTACATTATTGCTATTAATTACAAAAATGAAAAAATTCTTCGTGCCTGAATAATGCGAAAATATTCTGTTTACAGATAGCACAGTGTTTCTCAGTGAGCAAAATTTTATTATGATACTATCACGCATTCTTCTTGCGTCTGTTAGACAGAACTGAAGGTGTGACTCTTCTGTTTTAATTTTTGGCCAAAGTTGATAACACTGATAGTAGGCTATTGATAACATAACATCAGTGAAAATTATAAGTGTTTTTAGATATGATAGCATCCCCGTCCTCTTTAGTATTCACAATAATATTTTTTGTGCCATTATTGTTGTATTGTTGTGGAATGTAATATATGTCATGTAATGGCATTCTTCGTTGAATTTTTTGCATCTTATCATTTAATTTTTTTTCATATCTCACTCTTTGCAAGTTGTGTTTCACGTAGCACAAAATGATAATTTTTGGCAGCAGTGAGACTGAGTAGTCAGAACGATGCTTTGTTGAAAACAGTTGTCAGTGCTTTTAAAACCAAAAAGAAGGAAGTAAGTCACTGCTCATTTATTGCAGTATAAGCACAAGCTTGAAATCACTAAGATGGGAGGATAGAGTCTTTGCTATTTAATAAAAGGTTTTTTCTTTTCACGTATTAGTTGAATAATTACATTGGTTAGTAATTAACGAGTATGTATTTAATGAATTGCGATCATATATATGTTTAGCAATCATAGTTTTGCTATCAGTAGTAAATAAATGATTGCATTTTGCAATGGAACATAAATGCTGCGATGTAAACTTGTCATGAACACGTTTGTTATTGAAATTGCGGAATATTTTTATCAGAATGACATTATTCCAAATATGTAGAAAGATTTGTAAGCATTTAAAGCAAGCTTATACTTTCTGCTAATTACAATAGTCACAATTTATTTTTTATTTTCAGTAGAGATTGAGTATTTGAAATTGTTTTGCGTTTCCAATTAGAATATGCTATTTTTAGTGATTAATTTAATAGGGAAGTTACTTCAGCAATAAAGAAGAGCAATGCATCAGATGAATGCTTGTCCATCCATACCTGCACCTGACTATTCGTTAGGTACAGCTTCGGGTGAGATCTTGTTTCGTAATTGGAATAGCGCAGAATCAGCTCCTGCAACATCCTTGATGTCTCTGAAATCCCTGAGTGATATGTCAGGTTGCGATAACGTGGGAAGTATTCGCAATTCTCCTTTTACTGTTAATCACTCAGCTATTAGACCGCAATCGGCTCAGACTGCTATTCAGTCATCTTGTTCATCATATTCGCAAATGCAAAGAAATGGCAAATTAGAAAAATCTTCATCGTTTTTTAATCATCAGAACATCAAAAAATGCACAGTAATTTTCGTTTTATTTCAGATTTCATAAAGTCAGATTTAATCTAAAATCATTCAAATTATTTTCAGCTTTCTCAGGATTCTTATTCTTTGCTCACGAATAGTTGCTTAGAAATCTATGAAATATTATTCAGACACAGTGCTATGAAAATGTCCGAATAATATGATGCATTTTTATTATTATTCTTGTATGAGTTGCATTTTATTGAAAAACAAAAACTGAGCTAGATCAAATATGATCTCATCATTACTTTTAAAATGAGTAGTAATAATGGTTAGATTATATTTGGTCTAGTTCCACTTGTTGTCTTTTTAACTCATATTTTGCAAATCATTTCAGAGTAAAATCATTAATAAGTATTTTGCTAACAATGCGATATAAAGTTAAATTTAGATATGTTGTAATATAAGTTATAGAAAACTAGATCATCGTCATGCAGTGGTAATAATTATTAGAATAAAATCCTTCAAAGTCAATTTATCTTAATAAAATTATTGACAACAATTTATTTTGACTGGTGAAAGTGTAGTTCATTGTCTTAGATGAAATTGACTGCAACGTGGAGTTGTGTGTGAAGATCAAATTTAAAGTTTTTCATACAGAGATTCATACTTGTTTGTACTATGATAAGTAGATAAAGAGGATAAAATCACTATCTTCCATTTTGCTTCAGTAATTTATCATTTGCAAATATCTCTTAAATTCTTAGGAGATCTATCCATAGGATCATTCATCGTTCTTGACACTTTGAGCTAGAAGAATTATGAAAAGCAAAAAGAGTTTACTTTCATGAAAAAAAGTATGCTAAAACGTTTATCCATTCAAACTTTAATAGATATCATAGTTCTTTTTGGTAGCATTAGTTGAATTTGTGTTTCTATGACCTATGTTAAAATACCCGTCCAAAATATTTAAAAACGGAATCAGTTAAAAAATAAGATTCTGCTCAACTTCGTTGCTATAATTTTTTCTTCAAGTACAAGTTTTGTTTTGAGATTATTGCATACAATTGAGATCTAGAACTTGGTATATATGTTCAAAATCGAGGTTGCTTTTTCAAGTTTCTGCTTGGAAGGTTATTTTCTTGTTTTCCGAAATTATAATACAATTTAGCCATTTAGCACATATGTGCTAATGTGCTAAATAAGTCAGCAGATCTTAAGTAACTCATTACTTATTCGAGTACGACACTTCTATCAATGGACTAGCAGTATAACTTATTTTAAAAGTAATTATTAATGATGTGAGTATTAATTTTGCAGTTGGGAAAATATCAAAGTTTTTCAAGTTATCCCTTTTTCTTCCTGCTAGTACACATTTTTAAACTGTGCAATTGCTACTACTTATTGCTAAAATCATGTTTGTTTTGTCGAAGAACTGGTAGCATTAATACTGTTTGTGTTGATATCGGTGGCAGTGAATAGAAGTTGTTCACATTTCCTAAAGTAATCAAATCATGTTTACATTTGGATATGTGTGGTGTAGACATATCTATCTGTGTAAATGTATTTTCATTTCTCTTTTTGATATTTGCTAAAATTTATATCTGTCTTAATGCTGCAAATTGTTGAATTATAACTTGTGCTTAATATACTTACCGGTTATCTTCTTCTATTCACTCTCACTGTAACTTAATAATAATACAAGGCATTAAGTTTCTATCACGTTTGCAATGATCAGGTATATTTTGACAAGTTTAACTACATTGAATGTTATGAGAAATCACATTATTCATTTATGTATTTTGTTATGTCCTTGTATGGTTGCGACAAAAATTGTCATAATTTTCTTAATGATGTACATTTTGTCTGTTTTGGACAAATATGGTCAGAGCAAAATTTATTTTTCTGTCATTTGTTCATCTTTTGTTTGTATTAGCAATGATTTATAAGTAAGACTGAAGTATTAGTATGTAAATATGGACAAGTATTTAGGCAGATGAGAAGTTTTATTTAAGTGCGGATTTGCTTGAGGAAAAAGCTCTCATGTTGGAGAGCTTTTTTTATTTTCCTATTTGTATAATATTAATTTTTATCTAAATTTCTTTAGTTTACGATGTATATATGAAATAATATTTTTTTCGTCATCTTTTCAATAACTTCTTTGGTTTTTTAAATATTTTTGAATATTTTTAGTACTGATTAGTGTTGCTGTCCATACTTTATTATATAATTTGAGTAGCAGTTTTATGTGCGCTTGAGTTTAAGGCTTAAATTTAAGGAAAAGCTCTAAGCCTTAAGTAAACAAAGTGTGCCCCTGTGAGGAAAATTGTTGAGCAGTTAATGCACATACTTTATACTTGATCTAAATATATGCGGCTACTATTAATGATTGAATATATTTTGTGGGAAAGGCAAATATGTTTATTTCAATAATATCTAGAAAGCTGGCATGATTAAATTTATTTAAATGGAAAGGAAAAAAAAGAAGGAATGAGATTTGTTTTTTCTGCAGACATTTATTTATTGCAGAAATTGGATCCAGAGCAGTTATTTACTCGACAAGAAAAAATCGGACGAGGATCGTTTGGTGAAGTATTCAAAGGAATTGATAATCGAACTGGACAGGTTTAATTATTCCAATTAGTAAGATATGCATTAAGATTACTTATCTGTCATACAGGACATGTTTCTCTTTTTAGGTAGTTGCTATAAAAATAATAGACTTGGAAAAAGCTGAAGATGAAATTGAAGATATTCAGCAAGAAATAATGGTACTAAGTCAGTGTGATTCACCATATGTAACGAAGTATTACGGGTCATATTTAAAGGTAGGCTTAAATGTGATCATTATTTCATTTATATGATTGCAAATGAGGCAATGATATGTGATGATTATTACAGCTGAAATTTGCATTTTTTGTTTTGTGCAAGTAAAAATATGAATGAATGTATTTTATTAACATGAATGGTTTCATTCTGAGTTTTGATCAACTTTTATAGGACTACCATAAATATGATTATTTCTATTTTATATTACTTTTAACGCAGTACAGGACTCTTAATTGAGTCTCAAAGAACTGTTAGCAATGAAAGGATAGAAAAGCTACAAAATAAAGTTCATTGTTAATTTTTAAAACAAAAATCTATTTATCATAAACTTTAATTAGCATAGCCGTTTGCAATGAGTTATTATAGGAATCAAAATTATGGATAATCATGGAATATTTGGGTGGTGGTTCAGCACTGGATCTAACGAAGTGCGGTAGATTGGAAGAAAGCCACATTGCAGTAATTTTACGTGAAATCCTCAAGGGGTTAGAGTATCTACATTCTGAACGAAAAATTCATCGAGATATTAAAGGTTGCGCTTTCGTTTTAATTTATGCAGTTGCTTCAGTATTCTTGCTTGAATTGAATGACTTTGGTATTTCTTATTTTTCTTTGAATTTATATATTGCTAAGTTCGTGTATTTTGAACAGGTTGAGTCACAAAAGTAAGTTTATTTTATAAAATCTAATCAAATCTGTATTAATGTTAATGATGATATGTAATAATTCTGGTGAATATTTAGGCATTGATTAAATTTTCGTTCCACTTTTTATTGCAATGTGTAGACAAACCCTTTTGGATTTATTAATAATTTTTATAGCAAGAATGTTTATTCTTAATTTGAGCTTTCTCTGTGTTCCATCTTGCTCTCCGAGCATTCTGTCCTATTCTATAATTATATTCGTTTTTTTTTAAACTTTAGTTTTATTGTTCAATTTTTTTATCTCTTGAGCATTTCCTTGATGGAAAATGAAATGATTTCATTTACGAGTAGATTGTTTTAGATAAGCATGGAGAAATGCGTGAATAAGTTGGGAATGTGTGTAGTTTGTAGTTTCTAGCTTTTAGAAATATAAATATGAATCAGATGTTGAAAAGTATATATTGTTGGTACGATATGATTTTTGTTCCACACAGCTGCAAATGTGCTTCTAAGCGAACGAGATGCAAATATTCAAATAGCCGATTTTGGCGTTGCAGCTCAAGTTTCTACGACAAAAAGTAAAGTGGAAACATTTGTTGGCACACCTTTCTGGATGGCTCCAGAAGTTATCGCGAAAGATCGCTACGATGAAAAGGTCATCTCCCTAGTGAAATTCTTTGAAATTATATCTACAAAATAAATTAGTTTGTTGGTAAGAATTTTGTATCAGGACATAACCTATTTGTGCTTCTCCCTATTCTATCCTGCATCAACAAATAAGGCGATCAAATACGAGATGTTTACAGTTTTACGAATAAATTATACAAAATTAGCGCTAAAATTAAGGTAAACTAAGCTTGTAATACATATCTAGATTAGATCTCAACTGTTAAATTACGTGTCCATTTGTTATCGATGTATTTATTTCATTCTCCTTTGTTTCTTTATTTGGAGTAACCTTTATACAATTTTTTTATTGTATCAATCAATGTAATAGGAACATGATGCTATCGACGCTTTGTGGATTAAATATCCACAAAGCTTTACCGTTTTGCCATTTACCCTCTGATTGAATTACGTTGTCATTTGCTGTACATAGCTTTGATTCCTCATCATCATCCCTGTGTAAGTCACGTAATGAACGTTTGAAGTCATCTCCAAAAAAACTTTAAAATTACCCAGCTGATTATTACTGCATAATTAGAGGCAGTAACCAAAATGCTGATAGTAAGTACCATTTTTGTTGCTTTTCGAGTAGTGTATTACTCGTATGTGTTGATTTTTGCCCTAGCTAAAATCCGCTTGAAGGCATTGTACTAAGACACATGTGTAGAGTTAGGTGCAGGGAAGAAAAAAAAGATTGCTTGTGTTTTTCCAGCTGCAAACGTTTTGTTATCTGAACATGGTGACGTAAAAGTAGCAGATTTTGGTGTTGCTGGACAACTGACGGAAACCGTAAAAAAGCGAATCACTTTTGTGGGCACTCCATTTTGGATGGCACCCGAAGTGATCCGGCAAGCTTCTTATGATTTTAAGGTTTTTTAAATTTTAGCCTTTTCAGCCACCACTTTATCTGTATGCCTTTTACCCTTTGTTAGTTGGTTGGCTTTTTCTTATTTGTGTTGTTGGTGTTGTTATTGTTGGCATATATTTAAGAAAACTTTGGAATTTGAAGAAAATGGATAAAGTCATATTTGATCAGCAAGTATTTTTTATTTTTTTGTATTCAGAATTATTTTTTCTTTGTCTTCGAGCAGTATAAGTTATCTTTTAACGGTTTGAATTCTTATATCGTAGTCATTATTGGAGTTAAGATCAAAAGTTTTAATTCTAGTTTAGTTATGTGTTTATATTCAATTTTTTCTGCTTTTACTTTGAATTGAGTAAAAAATGAATTGATAGACTCTTGCATTTTACTTTGAGTTGCATGCATATATTTGTTAGTATATATTATTTTCATTAAATTATACTTCTGAATTTCAGGCAGATATATGGAGCTTAGGTATCACGGCTATTGAACTAGCCAATGGTGAACCACCGCATTCAGATTTACATCCAATGCGTGTGCTTTTTTTAATACCAAAAAATCCACCTCCCCAATTGAATGGACCTCAGTGGTCTCGTCTTTTCAAGGATTTTGTAGAATTGTGCTTGAATAAAGATCCAGAAAATGTTAGCCTTTGTCTATTTAAATCAATTTACAAATGGAATCTGTAGCTTTTAATTCGCCTTCGATTTTTAAAACAACATAGCTATCTAGCTATCTTTAAGTCTATTAATCAAAGAAGAATTTTTTTTTTAAACCGTTGATCATTAGAATTTGTTTAGAAGGTTACTAATGATTTTTTTGCTCATCGTTTTTTGTCTTGAGCTACTAATTTTTTCAGAGACCTTCTGCCAGAGAGCTACTCAAGCACCCATTCATTAGAAGGGCTAAAAAAAATTCGATCTTGATGGATTTAATTGAGAAGAGTGTTGATTACAAAACTCGTCTTGGACCCAGTAGTGATTCGGATCAAGATGAAGAAGCTGATGGCAGTGGAGGGTTTGATTTGTAGAATATTTTTTTAATGAAATATATCTCTTTACTCATTTCATTCATTTTTTCAAGCAACTGTCGAGAATTTTCAATTTTTAACTTCTTTTATCACTTTTAATGTCCTAAATTCTTTTCTACTAAATTTGATGTTTTAAATTTGTTTCACTTTCTTACTCTTACGGTCTTTATTTTGAATGGTATGTCAAAGCAGTAGCAGTTGATAAAAGGAAAATAACTCTAAATCTGCATTCAACTAATTTACCTTGACATGCTGTGATATCGCTTTTATTATTTTCAGTACTGATTGGGTATTTAACACAATAAAAACACCACAGAATGTGAATGACACTAGCAATGATCAGAATACAGTACGAGCTAAAAATGATACTGGCCGTCCATCCGTTGCTTCTGGTTACCTTTCGCGAAATCGTGATATCAGTCCAAACGCGACAATAATCATCAGAAATAACAATTCTGTAATCATTTTTATCACAAGAAAGCTGATTCTTTTGCGCTACGAACTTTTATTTACTATATTTTGACCATAAAATTATAAAAGGTTAAGGATTCTGGTCTACAGAATAGTTGGTTCATTGTCTGGTTGATCACAAATGACCATATAGGCATCAGAATTGTGCTAATTTTTTCTTGCAAACATTAATAACCAACTTTTTTTAAATGAGAAGTAAAATGTTATAATTTGTATTATATCATGTAATCAGTGGTTTCTTATAGGGCGTAGGGCAGATAACTAATGAACTTCGACAGACATCGCTACTTCCTACTAGTTCTTCAGCCTTCAGCAATCATCATCCATTAACAAATTATTCTAATTCCGCTTCCATGCCAAATGATGTTAGCGTTGCGCACAATGGTAATGCAACAACAATTGCTGTTGCTTCACCAACGAGTTCACCTGTTAGTTTTTATACATCATTGAAGTGATTGGTTTGATTTATACAATTGTACTTATCTGATACTGCGAAGGCAGATTAGATGTGAAGTCAAATCATTTGATAAAATTCAAATTCTTGCATAATTTTTTTTTCGAAAATTATAGACCTCATCATTAAACCGTCATTCTTTTGCAATCAGCGATGTTCCATGCAGCCTTGCACCAAGTGCGCAACATAATCTTGGTGTATCTTCTCAAGCTCCGAATGTGTCAACTAATATTCGTGACTATCATCGGTCTTTCAATCATAATAGTCATATGACTAATGAAACGATTGAGCCAGTTGAGGCTACGAAAAAGGTTGCAAAGAATTTGTCGCTCTTTTTTATTACGCAGTGTTGTATGAGTTCGTACATTTTATTGGAAATTTAATTTTCATAGCTGTAATAATATTAAACGAAAAAGAATTTGTGTCTCAATCCAGTAGACATATTTGTGAGCAAAATTCAACTATAAAATGGGAAATAGTAAAGAAGAAAAGGCCTTTTAGGTTTGCAGCTGTCATTTGATTATAAAGTTGCCTTACTATATCACAATTTCAAAGATTGTTTACGTAGGTTTTATTAAAAATTATTTGAGGGTGCATTGGAATATACACTACTACCAGCTTTGGATAGACTAGGACGCACACGCCATTCATGTGCTGATTTAGATGCGGTCGCTTTAGCTTTCAAAGAAGCGGAGAAGAACTGTCCGGGACTATGCGATGAATTTGTACTCGAATTGCTTACCGCAGTTGCTTGTCCTCAGGTTACTGAATCGGAATTACAAGCTGCTGTTGAACGGCTCACTACGTAAGTAATCATTAGTAGAAATATAAAAATGTAACTGAAGTAATAATTGATGTAGTGATTCTTCAATAATTTTTTGGTTCATAATGACTACTTGCACATGTGTAAAGTAAACGAAATTTCAG